TTTTGTCATGTGAAGACACTTAATTTCTAAAAAATGCTACTGTATCCGTCTCAGGATGGATAGGCATTCCCTTAAAAATGGATCTGCATTAGGTATTAGTAATGCTATTTCATGTCTCTTAACATGAAAAACATTGTTTCAGTAGATGTTCAGGAGTCAGGAGCTGCTGGTCCATTTTTTTTGGCTCATCAGTAAAAGTTTCTTTGGTGGAGTCTGGACCAGAAATGTATTTGCATTAAATGATCTTCCATGTGCCTAGTATCATACAGTTCTCTGGCAACCAAATTTCTTTCTCTGATTTCCCCCCCGCCCCATTTTTGTGGTGAGTCCTTATGTTAGAGAATAGTGATTTGTCCAGAGTTACTTTATGCTCTGTCTTTCAGCGCATCCTGAAACTTTCAATCTTCCACGACAGTTCACTGCAAAGTTCTTAACTGTTGCCTTGATAAAGATATGTCAATATTTTCCTCTAGGCCTTTGAAGGAGTCAGCTTGTTCAGGCATGTGGCTGACTCCTTCATTGAAGGAAGGCTGCTGTGTGATGACACTAATGGTACAGAAAGATCTGTACAACGTCAGCAAGGCTGTTCTTTTCTCAGATGTGTTTTGAAATAAACCTAAACTCTTAGTTTTCTTAAATTTTGAAGATCTAATTGTAGTCTTGAAGATGAGCATCAGTATAATTTTTCTACATATACCCACTCCATTTGTGTCCTGTCAGTTGCTAACAGCCTTACTTTGACATGCACTTAGTTTATTTTTGTCTTTTGCCTTTCTTGCACTTACAGCTTGGGGGGAAAAAAAGTTTCTGAGTGATGGAATGACAAAGGCCATCATGTCTTCTAATAATACTGATTGGGTTTTTGAAGGCCACGGTAGTAATCATCAAATCAATGGATTATGGAGGTATTGCCATGCCTAGATTGATGGCTAAGTCTCATACATTACACAAGTCTAGAATTATTTTGGGTGTCTGGATTTAAAATTGTTGCATGGCTAAGAGGGCCAGTTAGTACTGAAAAAATAATGTTGTTAAAGCAGTTCTGGATATTACAAGTGCTTATACCTCAGGGCAGATTCTACACCATGAACCCTATGATTGATTCAGTCTCTGATCACAGCTTTTGCCTGTAAGGTTATGTTTTTAGACTCACCTGACACTGCATGCAAAGCTTCATCTTTGTTACTTACAGGCATGGCTCACCACTTTGCATTCCAAGGAAGCACAGTTTTGCCTGGATTTCTATAGAACTCATGCATTTCTGGAAAGCATGAAGAATGAAAAGTAAGTTTGTGTAGGCTATCCTTTTTCTTTTCCTCTCTAGGAAAGAAAAATCAAAACCAAAAGAACCCCACTCAGCTCTTTCAGAAAACTGTTAACTTGGAGCAGTTAGGAATAGTATCTCCAATTTACAAATGGTACCAGCAGTACTCTGTAAATGTTTCCTTTTTTTCATTCAGAACCAGTGTAAGGATAGTGTCAGACATCAGGACTTGCATCAGGACTTGAAGAAAATGCTGGGTTTTATGTGCTCAAACTTTTCTAGGTTATATATTGCTGTTGGCCATCTCTTTCGGTGAGAAAGATTGCATTGCATTTAGCCTACTAAAGCTTTACTTGATTGGGAATTCCCAAAATGGAATATACACAGGAGGAAATCAGTTGACAGAGAATTATTTCTTACTAGTTCATTACCGCTTCTTTTCAGATTCAGGTTCTTTGTGTTTGGAAAAAGGAACTGGAGCTATACTCAGATTGCTCTCTCTCTCTTTGATTCAGTGCATGAATATAGCTGAAATGTGTGTGCATTGAATGGAAGATCTTGGCAAAATCTGGGTCTTGGTTGGATGGAGGGAGGTTAGCCAAGACAGTAAAGCATTCCACCCACTACCAAGTGGCTAATCTTTCTTCTAGTCTCATCCTAACAATACTTAGAATTTGGACAATAAGATCTGTGTTTGTATGCATTACCCTGTAATAGAGAGCAAGGGTATAAGGTAAAATACTGGTGTCAGGGATGCATTCAGTTATGTTGTCCACTGTCTATGTCTTGATTTGGAAAATTGCATTGTACAAAGATAACTTATTCTAAAATAGTAAAGAAGCCATGCCAGTCTGGAAAATCTTTACTGGTTGGCTCAGGCAAAATTACAGGCCTTTTGTACATTTGAAAAAATCAGACCTGCAATTCAGCATGCACACAGCTCTAATGAGAGTGAAGAGCTAGCTACATTACTGACAACAGGCAAAACCCATAGGGAAGTGCTTTGGCCTTCGATGTGTCTGTGTGGCTGAGTCCCCATTTGACTGCTGTAGATAATGCCTAAAGAGTCATATAATTACAGCCTGTATAGTTCTGCAATGACAAGAGCGTTAATGCATGAGGTGCTGCCAGAGAAGGTTCACAAGTAGTTGCCCATCATGGGATTTTTGAGTAGTTCTATCAGTTGGAAATCTGAATTTCGTTTAAGCTACTTCATCATAAATAAATTTAACTTATAGTTACAAGAAATGTCTCTAAGTCTATAATGAGTTAGCGCTTAGAGTACTGAATTAATCCTGAATTGCTGTATTTTCAGATATCCAGTTAATACTGCTGTTAGTTACAGCTTACTTAGTGACTGTATCACTGAAGATTGAATATGCTGCTAAGGATCAGAGGGTCAGCTCTGAGATCAGACCAGGTTGCTCAGGGCTTTGTGCACTTCGGTCTGGAAAACCTCCAAGGAAGGAGACTGAACAAGCTCTCTGGGCAGCCTGTGCCACTGCCTACTGCCCACCTGTGGGGAAAAATTTGTCCTTACATCTAGATGGAAGCTCTCTTTAAGGCTATGGTGTGCTTAAGAGGAGTGAAAGCTAAAAAAAAAAAAATAAATACTAATTTAGATATTTGAAGATAAGAGATGAGTAGTGGTTATTTTCCTACTTAAGGAGTTGATTGAATCCAATATTTCCCCCCATTGATCTAAGAGGACGGCATTTCACCCTTGAGAGTGCTGCTTTGAGAAATCCAGTTACTCAGTTGCAGATGCAGGGTTAATAGTTATCTAGCTGTAGAGCTTTATCTTACCTCTTGAAAAGCCTCTGGGGAGTGGATGAATCAGGTCTGCTAATTAAACAAGCTAGAGGCTGCAGAAACATGGAAGCAGAACAGGTGAAAAGAATGGCAGAAAATACCTTGGCTTCTCTTGCTGGCTGGGCCAGCAGGTGTTGACAGGCACATAAAGGTAGGGGTGTGAAAAGTGTCAGCTTTTCCTCTTCTCACCTTTGATAGAAAGGGAATAAATAGAATAACTTATCTTTTTATGTTTAAATATCATTCCTGAAGAAAAATTTCATCAGATTCTGTTCCCAAATGTGTCTTAAAAAGCGAAGGAAAAAAAAAACCCTCAAAAATAGAAAGAGCAAGCATCTGTCTTCAATTGAAGTTAGAAGTTATTCTTTAAAAACAAAACCACTAACCCTTATTTTTTAATTTCCTTTCTGACAAAATCAATTGTATTGGACAAATTAATATTAGATTTAATAGACTTTGTGACATGTAAACAAAACCCAACTGATTTTATACTTAAGAAAATCCTGTTTACGCTGGAAAAAAAAGGCTCTGCTTGTGTATTAACACTCCAGCCAGGAAAGAATTTTGACTATTTTGCTCTAGAAGTATTTACTAAAACTGAACTTTTCTATTTTATAGATAGGAGAATAAGGGTTCTCTAGTCTGAAGTGATATCACATAATCAGAATTAATAACAAAGATTGGTGTGCAGCTTTTGCTATCCAGGTCTGTCAGCCTGCGGTCACCTTGTCTCTCAAATATTTTTACTACATCTTTCCTTAAAATCAGTTTCTTCCGTTTGCTTCTTCACATCTCTGAGTCTTTACAGTTTCTTGTTTGGAACCAGTTATAAGCACAGAGATTGCAGGACTATGCAAATGATTTCTACATCTTCTAGTGCCCACTTTGGCCTATTTGGTATTGCCAAGTGTGTTTCAAAAAGTGATTGTGCAAAAAATCTTTATGGGTAATTTCTGGTCTTCATGGTTGATTTTTAAAAAAAACCCCACAAACAAAAACCACTGTGGAAGCAGATAGAATATATATTAAAAAAAAATCCAATCCATCAAGCCAGTCTTATGATTGTTTGTTGTTTTTTTTTTTTAACATGACTTGAAAGGTTAGAATTACTGACACTGGTAGTTTATCCCATTGTAGTTGATGGTCTACTGTCAGGACTTTAGTTGCTACTGTCAGTTGCTTTAGTTCTTTAGGATGAAGTAGCTGATAAATCATTCTTCCAGTTTGCCCTATTCATTGCTGCTGTAGCTGCACCCTCTCCTGGAAGTGCTTGCTGTTGTGTTTGGCACTACAGGTGGTTCCTGCTCCTCTTCCTCCTTGCCCCCCTGGACGTCATGGTGATCGTGGATGTCAGGATGCAGCAGTCCGGGGGGCCCCTCCTTCTTGCACTGTCTGGCCTCCAACTCTCTACCCCTCTGCTTCTTGCTCCTGCCCTGAGCTACGTTACAAGTTTGGTAGCGTGCATCTCTGTCTTAATGCGCAGTACTGCGGTGAATACTCACTAATCATTCAGCACCTTCAGACCTGAGAGCATGCCCCGGCTGGTGAAGCAACCAGTTCTAGACAGCCCTTGTGGATTCTGTGTTATGTTAAATCTAGGACTAGTAAATTAAATGTGGTTGGGGAGAACGCTTCTAGGTTGTCTTCAATTTTCTTGGTATTAGACGCAGCCTTGTTGTTTTCTTGAATTAAGTTCCTTAATAGTGAACAAAGCAACAACGTGTTTCAGATTGTTTTTTACTGTATTGCACTTAATAGTGATAAGCCAGTGCAAAACCTACTCTGCTTTTACAGATTTTAGAATAAGTTGATCATTTCTAAGTCTGAGATTCACAGATTACTTCTATTTAACTCAAGTTTTCTAAGGTTTATCTTCCTTTTAATTTTAAAGCCAGTTTATTTTCTCAACCCTCTTTTTAAACAGATGAAGCACGTAAGAGACAGATTTGGTGACAGTGTGCCAGAAGAAGTGCTTCTGCTGTGTCTGGGCATTACTTCAGGAGTTGGCAGATTGATCTTTGGCAGAGTTGCAGATTATATTCCTGGTGCAAAAAAAGTTTATTTACAGGTAAGTCTTCACACTGTTCTGAAGGATTATCCAAACAATATTCTGAAGGCTTTGGTGGCAGGTACTATTAAGTAAGCAGAATCAACTGATTGGAGATTCAAATTTGAGAATTTTCAAAACTCTACGAAACTCAATATGTGGTTTTTGGTACTAGGAGCCTTTGGTGCAAAGTTCACAAATATCTCTTTCTTTTTCCTCTTTTTAATGCTAAGGAAACATGTCTACTACCTGCTGGCTGTTTTCAGCTGGGAATGAAAGAAATTACTAATCATTAGCACATGAGTGAGAAAACCTTTGGGAATTCTCTACATTCTGCTTTCCCTGTTTTATCCTGTGATTTCATAATGGTTGCAGAAAGATGTTTTTTTTCCTGTGTTCCTCTAGTAAGGATTTTGGATCTCTTTTTCTTGATCTTTGATAGGTGATAATTTGGTGTCAAGTATGTTCTGTGCATAGTGCACACTGCTAAAAGCCATGGGAATATAAGAGGTGCTTAGTTGAGTAGATTTTGCTGAATGAAAGGCGTTACTTGCAGAAAGTCACAGCTTCCAGAAATGCTGAAGCTTGGGGATGAAGGAGGATAGACGCTTTTTTCCCTCCACACTTATAAATGATATTTTTTTGAGAAAGCAGCAGCGTTAGTGTAGATTTTTGGAAAACCTTTAGTTAATAACTTGCACGTTATCAATGACTGGATGTTCTTGTTTTGTTGTTTTAAAATGAATAACAAGGGAGACATCTAATGGCTATTATCTGTACTACATTATTGAAAACATTCTTAGGAAAGAACCGTCTTTCTGAAGATGGAGTATTTGTTGCCATAGTTACATAAATTTAGATTCCCCGATGATAGAGACTGGGACTGTATCTCATTCATTTGCATGGATTTAATACCTGTTGTTACACTTTCAGGAAATGTCAGTATTAAGATAAAAAGTGAAAAGGCCGCATTGAGATGTTACACGATTTACAAAGCACAAATACCAAACTTGCAGTAAAACTACAGGCTTTTTTATTATTTTCCCAGAACAGCTAGAACTGAAAACCATGGACTGTTGTTTAAGGCATGAACTAGGATGCTTCTGAGTACTGTTGGTTTCACCTAGTTTTAATCAGGAAAAACATGTTCGCTTTTGCTAAGCTGTACCCCAGCATTTTCAGCTCTCCTGTTTCAGAGGAGCTTTTTCAAAGCTTTTTTCAAATCAGCTTTTGTGAGGGAAAGTGAATATTCACCTCAAATATTATTCTGGATTGTCCAACAGTTCATACTATCATCTCGTGCAAAAATTATTTAAGAATTAATTTTGACTAATGAAAAAGAAACCTCTTTCCTCTTAGAACTTTACTGTCTCATAATTGAGCAACTTGGAGTTCTACCCAGCAAATTCAACCTTCATCTTTCTGTTTCTGCATTCTTTTTTTATGGACCTGTTTTGCTGGATTTTCCTTTATAAATTCTATCTTTAGTAACAGAATGATGCATTTTGTCTCTTCTGGATACAAAGTTTAGTGATTCTGGTTTTAGTGCTGCTTTTACCATAATATGATAATGCAAAGAATCTGGTCAACAGTATCTTGCTTAAAGTTTGTCTATGGATAACCACATTACTACATAGATATAAACTCATCTCAAATGATATTTCTATACCATGCTTTAGACACTTAGCATACTAAAGAAAAACTGTTGCGAAATAAAGTACACTACCTAAAAGAATTGTTATGCTGTCCTGAAAATTAAGTTTTATCTAGCTGTCTGCTTAAAGACTTTTCCTAATGAAGTAATACATTTGATGTCACTTATCTGTTAAAAAAATTGTGATGTCTAGTAGTTTTTAAGTGACCTTGTTTTTCTTTAATGGTCTACAAGTGACCAATGCATATGTCTTGTTTGGAAAACGTGTTTGTGCAGTTAGGTGGGACATTGGTTTTCTATGCTGACATATGGCTGATGCACAAGCAAAACTCTTCCCTTTTTTATTTTCTTTTTAATTCTGCTTCATTTTGCTGAAAGACAGTTCTATTCCTTTAATTTACAACAAACATAATAATCATAATCTAAGATTATAACATAAAATCTTTGTAAGTATGCATGGCTCCAGGAATACAGCAAGATACCTTTATGTGGAAAAATTGAAATGAGACTTTCAAATACCACCTCTGTTGAATATAAGCACCCTGAAGTGATCACTCATAATACTGATATTTTTACTTAAATTACAACAGTGAGGAGTTCGTAGTGTTTTAGCTATATTAAACTTCTGATATTTTTGTGGCTTTCATTGGTGAAAAGAGCAGAGAGTAACTTTTAAAAAAAAAGTTGGTGCATGAGAAATGACCTTACGTAAGCACTGCAAGACAGTTGATTACAAATGCATTTTGAAGACTTGTGAAATGGGTAGTGGAATTTCTTTGGTTGCATGTCATGACAGTTATATGTGTTTGTTTTATCTTGGTATGTAACTTCTGATGGTGGTAATCCAGGGAGACTGCTTATATTTATTTTAAAGTAAATACAGGCAGACAATTTAATTCACTACAAATGCAAGAAAGCTCATCTGTTCCCTTTATCTTTGCTGATTTGATGCAACATGTTTTTATATTTTTTCCTTGGTCATGTTTAGGTGGCCTCATTCTTCTTTATTGGCCTGATGTCTATGATGATTCCACTCTGCCACGTCTTCGGAGGTCTCATTGCTGTCTGTCTCTTCATGGGCCTGTTTGATGGGTGCTTCATTTGCATTATGGCTCCTATTGCCTTTGAGCTTGTTGGGGCTCAGGATGTCTCCCAGGCCATAGGATTTCTACTAGGATTCATGTCAATACCTATGACATTTGGTCCACCCATTGCAGGTAAGTATAGATATGGTCTGTAGCTGTAAACATGTTCCTATGGTTGCATGACTCTTTGGCCATTTTTTCCGTTCCTACATCATATGCAGTGCACTTACAGTGGAAGCTTTCTTGGTACGTGCTTCAGAATATATGGTTAATTTAACTGCTGCGCATGGGTTATTAATTTACTGTACTCCTTAAAGTTTGCTTCAGTCTCTTTTATTAAGTTGTATATTAAGTTTTATTAAGATGTAAAACATTCCTCAAAAAGATAGGTTTCCAGTTGGATTGATGACTTGATGTTTTCCATGCTGTTGAGGTGACAGCCTATATGTTGATTGTGTTACAGAAGGACTCCAAATTAGAATCTGAAAATTAGTTGGACTCCAAAATTTGCTCATGCAAAAACAATTGTGAGGATAAAAGCTCCAGTCACTTTAATTGCTTCCTATAAGGAGGAACGCTGGCTTCTTTCATTCTTTGATGGGAGACTGTTTGACGAAGTACAGGTTTTGAAGATGAAAACTGGAAGTTCTTTGGGAGGTGGAAATAGCTTGAGCTATAATCCTTACCACTGACGACTTTCAATCATAATTTACCCTGAGGTCTTGTGAGTGCTACTGAAAGATACTTAGTAAGATGTAACTGAACTACGCGGCATTATAAAGAACAAAATTTTAAAGCTAGAACAGCATAAACTAGGCGCTTCCTGATCGGGATACACTATCGCAGCTATTAATACTTAAATAGAATTTGATTAATGGGAGGAGTTTTGAGAGAGCATTAGAGTGAATTGTTGGAAAACACACTTTTTTAATAAGAGGCTACCAGGAATGCAATATATGCAATATATCTAGAATAAGATTAAGAGGCACCTTGATCAAAGGCAACTGTTACCGAAAGAAGGAGAATTTCTCCAAGTCATTGCAAGATTCAAGTGCTGGAGAAGCTGAAATGAGCAACTTTCAAATAGGAAATATGGTATGTGCTTTTAATGATGGGTGGTAATTAAGCAGTCGAGTGGTGACATACTGAGTTCTTTGTTACTCGGAGTCTTTAAATCAACTCTGGAATACCTTTCTGCCCATATATATACACACACATATATTTGGCCATCAGGTAGTCAGATTAGTGGTTATAATAATCTGTGCCAGCTCTCAAGTTTCTGAATCCCAAGAAAAGACATGTTTTTTTGTAGATTCCCGAGGCCCCATTATTTATCAGCGGTAACTTTCTGTCTTTCCAGGTTGGCTGCGTGATCACCTCGGCACCTACGATGTAGCATTCTACCTGGCTGGAGTCCCTCCCCTTATTGGTGGAGCTATACTATGTTTCATCCCCTGGGTCCATGAACGGCAGAAGTTAAAAGAAAGAGCAAAACCTATTGATGGAGAAACTACTGAGAAAATGCTGGAAAACGAAAGCACTATGGCGTCGGACACTACAGAAAAGCCAGTCAAAGAAATGGAATCTGGTTTTTGATGCTTTGTCTTCCTGTACCAGCCTGACCTTCTTCTACTGAAGCTAGACTGGTACTCTTTGGCTGAAGGATACTACATGATACTGAAGAAGTTTTGAACTATTGCTCAAATAGCAAAACTGCTATAAGAATCTTTTATACCATTGAACTTTTTGAGTTGAGTTTGATTTCAAGCCACATTTTCAAGGTATTTGAAGTTTTCTAGCATTAGTGTGTACATGCATAGTGATCCTGTGTGTGAAGAGAATATTTTTCTAATGCATCAGAACGTATTCCTGGAAGTGTGAAAGCTGTTTTTGGTTCACTGACCCAGGATTCTTCAAAGACTTTTATGGTCCATCCAATGCAGGCACACCCATGGGTGTTTATACTGGAAAATGTAGTAGCTCTTATGACTGATTTGTTTTTTGAAGTTTCTCATGCTGTTTTACAGTCTCTTATAATTCTGTATCATGAACATGAATATGCGTCTTTTTGATTACCTTAACTCTTGCTGAAATCATTTTGCATTAGAAAGCTAAATTATTAAACATCTGTTTTACTTTCTCTAAATACCCTAGCCTGCTCAGGTTGCTTAAACACTCACCTGTTTTTGCATTCACCTTTTCACAGTAGCCCAAACAAAGAACATTAAGGATGAAATTTGATGGGCACATGTTTTGAATATGCGCAAACTAAGCTCTGAGTGCAAACACATTCAGAGAAGTAAAGCTGCTTTTTAATTTTTTTAAATTTTTTTGATTTTTTTAATTTGGTGAAGGCAATACTATTAATGTATATGTGTATATTTTTTTAGCTAAACCTCAGAATAGCTGATAGTTTTGAAATTGTACTGACAGTAATACTTTGGAGCAGTATTGTGAATTAGACTAAATTTCAAATTATTCTGTTGTATTTGTTAGGTTGGTTTTTTTTATTCTTAAAACCAAGACAGCTTTAAAGGATACATTTTAAGTGCAATAATAAGTTGTTTTTAACGTGGAAATATACATGAGCTGTTAAAATGACATTCAGCAATTCAAGATTTTTGCACTAAGTGAACATGCAGGTTTATTATAGGTCTTTATAGCTGTGTTCAATTGCGTGTAGGGTATAGCTCCATATTTTATTCAAATATAAAGAAATGTTTTTGCATGTCCTACTTCTTGCTTAACATACTAAACATATGGCCCTATTACTTATGTATTCTTAAGTATTATGCACTGTTTGTCAAGCAGGTATTTCTGAAAACCTCTTTCTCTGAAAAATATTTGAAAGCATAATACTTTGAGATGAAAACACTGCTTTCCAGTTTATCATAAAACGCTTCCAAGTACATTGTTTATGTGTGGATATGGATGAGCAATGCAGTAGAATACTTAATCATTCTTTATTTCAGGTCCATTCAATACCAATAACTTTTGTTTTCTTGATTAGAAGTGTCATAGCAAAGAGTAAACTAAATGTGATCTGAAGACAAAGTGCACATTTAAGTGCATTTTCTTAATTAGTAACAATACCTGTTCTTTACATAAACCACGGAGGCATACTGCTTTAAAATTATAACCCTTATTGTCTCTTCTATTTTCATTTTTTTCTCCAGAGTTCTAGTGAATTGCTCAGAAAGCCCGTGTACATTGTGATATAAAACATTATATTAGCAATACTATTGCATAGAATGTTTACATCTATCAACTTACAAAAGTCCTTTAAATATAATCATGCAAAGCATCCTAATTATTGGAGACCAAAGCTCATACCTTTTTTTATACTGCAGAATTTCAATCCCTGCTTTACATGGGTGAACTTTAAAAGAATTGAATCTTAAAATGTTAGAGATGTATGGGAGGGACTTCGAGGTGGGGGAAAAAAAACCCAAACCAATCTGTAAAACAGAGGTCCCTTTAGGTTCACTGGGACTTGTGCTTCTGCACAAGTACTCATAAGTACTTCTAAAAATTTCATTAAAATATTCATAGTATTGTTAATTAAAATGACTACAAAATGCTGCCTTCATTACAAAAATGCTATTAACAGCCTACGCTGTTCTTGTCTGGAGTGTTTCTGTAGAACATGTTACTCAGTATTATCTTCTATTTGGGCAATGCAAAAGGTGTTGAGTAAGTGTGGTAAGAGCCTCTTGTTTCCTCTTGCTTTGTGATGAAAAATTACTATTCATCACAGGTCTTACATTTCATGTGTTTTAGCTTTGAGTTTTTAACCAAAAACAAGGCTGCTTTTTAGCACTGATGCAATTTGAAATCATTGTGACCAGACGTCTTGATGTAATTGTGGCATCTTCCTGACTGGCTGCTCTGTATCTATATGAATTATCTGGGAGAGAATATAAAATAATTGTTGTTAAGTTTTAGAAATGATACAGAAATAGTATAACAATAGTATGGATTAATTATTGCCATACCCTTTAAAAATGTATCTGTACATAAAAATCCAAACTCTCATATTTGAGTAACTAAAAATGTAAATTATACTCACAAATATGAAGGACAGCATTTAAAAAACAAAAAAACAAAAAACACCAAAACCAAAAACCAGACTCCAGGAAGAGGGTACAATGAGTGAATAATTGTTTAGGAGTGGTTACTATATTAAAAACAGCTAGTGAATGGGATTTCAGACAAGAGGGACCCAGAGTTAGGGGTAAGGAAGCTACGCTGGTGTGATGATGTTGGAATAATGAACCTACTTCTGATGCCAGTGCTTGTTTTACAACAATGCTAAAACTGGAAAGGCTTCAGAAAAAAAAGTCTTTTCAGAAAAGGTAAAAAAAAAAAAGTAAATTAATGCATAAGAATTCTGTTAGCATCTTTACTGTTAGCTTGTATCTATGGGGAAATGTCCAACAGAAACGCTCTTTATTGGACATAAGCGTAAGAACATTGTGTCCTAAAGCTAGATAAGATGCAGTTAAAATGAAAGTGAAGTTCAGATTGTTAGCGGTGAGGCTAACTAACCATTGAGAAACTTATTTAGGGAGACACTGGATTCTGTATGCTTTGAGGTTTTAAAAATGAGGTTAGCTGTGTCCCTTTAAAGAAACAAAACAAAAACCAACCCACACCAAAACACAAAAACCCCAACACAAATAGCAACTACTTAGTACATTTCTGAAAAAATGATTGAATGATGTAGAAATGGTTGCTATTCTGAAAACTAGGAGAGAAAAGCATGGAATAGTCAATTTTATTTTGACTGAGTAAATATAAATAAACTTTTGTAACAGAATTTAATTTTAGGTGTGTGAACCTGTTCGTGGGAAACTTGCTGAACTCATATTTTGATGACCTAATTCATGCCAGATTTAGCCTTGTTGGGGGTAGATTCTAAAATTAAAATACTAGCTTAGGTCAAGAAAACCCTTAAATCATTCAGATGTATCCCTCTCTTGAGAACAGTTCATAGAGTACTTTTCATAGGCATTGCTCTCCCATCCTATAAACAGAGCGTTATCGTCTTTTTTCCATTAAATGTTCTCAGGGTAAGCTTCAGAAGAAATTGGGTAGAAAGAGGTTCACTTAAAATGGCAGTGTGACATTTCCAGTCTTACTTGATGCTGTTAATTTAATACACCAGATCTTGAAACCAAGACTAATTTTGAGCAAGGGGTTGGTTTTAGGTATGGCTGACATGTCTTTTCAGTAGGTATGAGATCCTTGTAAATCTTCATATATCTGTTCAGCAAAGAGTCTGAAATAATGAAAACCCTTCAGGTTCTTGTTCACATCTAAGCTACGTAATGATATACAATGTATAATTAATAAAAAAAGTATTGTTGGATTTATTCTGGCTACATGTTGAAGGACCTGTACAAGTCTCAAACCAAGATTTCAAATTAACATACTCTTAGTTAGAATTTCTTTCATCCAGATCTTTCTGTTCAGCATTAACACTTAAAATTCTTTTGTAAGTTTACTTTCAGCGACTGCTTATGGACATTCCTAAACTGCTTACTTGAGTCAAAGGTGACATAGGCATTCTGTGGCCATCCTTCAGGGTATATTCAGTATCAGGTGAGGTAGACAGCCGACATTTTTCTCTCTTTCTGCCTGGGCACGTACGTTCCCCCCCTTCCCTTTGGAGACACTGGATTGTCAAAGCTGACGCACACCGCACTGGATATGGATAGCCTTCCTTTCTCCAACTTCTTCCCTGCACGTGGACAGTACTGTTCAGCCTCCCTTTCTCAAACTTCCTCCCTACGTTAAACCTTTGAATAGCCATAGCCCGATAGACTAGGCAAGTTTTTGTGAAGTGGGAGATGTGAGGTTGAATCAACTCTCAGGAGTGCTGAAGGCAGTTCTCACACATACTAGATGAATGCTTTGATCACACGCTTAGATGTAAAAAATGGACACTACCATTTTAAAGCAAAAATGCCCTGCTCGTTTTTTTGCATCAGATAGTATGTGCCAAAGGGACAGGAGATGCTTCCTTGCAGCCCCAAAGAAGTATCTAAGGATGGGAATCAACGCTACTATTCTTAGGATCATCCTTACGGGTTAGCTTAAGCAGCCGGGTTCTCACTGTGCTGGCACGGGGCAGCTCCCTGCTTCGCCGCTTGCTGAAGGGCGGCAATGGCGGAGGGGCTCGGCCATCCTCTCTGAGCAGGGAGCAGAGGTGCTGCCTTGTTTGGGGCCCGATTCCCCTCCGGGGAGCTGGAAGTGTTATGGGAGCTGACTTTTAGGCATCTTACCTCTTTCGTTGGAACTGACCCTCTGATATTAAAAGTCTGTGTGTGTACGCATATATAAATACAATGTATTTTGACCAGGGCATACACAAACATTCAGTGCTTAACTATGGGAGCTGTAGCACTGGAATGTGGGAGGCAGCTGAGAAAGAAGTAATTATTTTCATTTGTGTGTTTCACTGTTGACAAGCACAGCACCATTACAGTTCCTGACAGCCAGTGAGTTTCTAGTCATGTAAACTTTGGCATATTTTCAGTATGCCTTTTAGTCTTTTATATATATATGTGTGTCAACCTTTCTAACGTTTCAGAACTGCGTATGCTAAGATTAGAGTGATTTTTATACTAAAATGTGTGCTAATATTGATAACACTGACATGCTTAAGTATCTTTATAGACATCATTTTGTATGTTGTTTTTGATATTAAAGGATATATGTTTTGCTAGCCTTAACTCCATTCTTTAAAGTTCTGCTTTGTTAGAAGGGTAAGAAATTAATGTCTAATGTCTTTCATGGTGCTAAAGTAACTGTGATCAGTCTCAAATCATTCAGAATAAAGATGGTAGTTCTTAAGTGCCCATTTGTTACTGCATGCATCATTTTTAGTCTTGTTCTCCTGTAAAACTTGTCATTTTTATAAGAGTAATTCTGTGTTATATTCTGATAATTATTGAATCTCATGTGCAGACTTTTATACAAAAGCCTTTACAGCTTTTATTACCACTGTGTTCTGACTGGAATGTCCCCGTTACCTTTGCTTCTAAACTAATATATGGTGCAACCCATTTCACTCTGATGGCACCGATGATCCGTTTTAAGACCAATGGTTTATAAACCTAAACTACTGACTTCCGGAGGTAAATGCTTCCGAAAATTTTATCTACTCTATTTTCCATTCTGGGGTTTAATATCAAACTTACAGAACAGTTGCATTCATGAAAGGCAGAAGTAAAATTGAGGAAGGGAGGGAAACTGTGTTGGAATAAACTTCAGGGGCGTTCTAAAGAATTTTGCATGTTTTTGCCTCATGAACTGCCAGTGTAATTCAGTGGACCTTTGATCATTTACTGGCCTACGACCAGTTTCACCTTGACTTACCTTGGCAGCGTGAAGTGTTTCCTCATTGACAGCTTCAGTAAATCACAGGAGTTCATTCACCTTTCCTTTGTAGTAGGGCCAAATATTTCCTTTTCTTTAGTAAATGTATCTGATGATAAGGGGGAAACATTCCCATTCCACCTGGGGTTATTCTGTAGACTGCTCATATTTCAAATTAAAATTTGAAAGAGATGCTAGAAACCTTTATAAGAGCCTGAGTGCTGTTGCCATTTGTACAGGCTCGAGGTACAAAACCTCTTTGTAAGTATGTAAAACAAAAATGAGGAGAAGACTATGGGATACATTTCAAATACTTTTGTACCTTTTTCAAGAAGCTATTTTTATACCAGTATTTCCCATGAAAGCTAATTAACAAGGGGAAATACGAACATCTAGAAATGCGGTTTGACTTGTATATGATTTTCAGAAAAGAAATACTGTTATTTTATACTTGAAACTATTTTACTTGAAATATTCTCTACCTATGGACCTATGAACAGAAGCTCAGCAGCGTGCTGCAGATCTCTGATAGTAAGACTTTGCACTTGTTGCAAAGATACTAACGTGGCTATGAACAACCAGATTTAAATGTTATCTTGCAGGGTTAGATTTTTTTTTTTGAATGCATACATCTATTTCCTCAGGTTATCCTGAACTGGAGCTGGACCTGCAACATGCTAACCCGTGCCAGGAAAAACAGGATTAGGTTGCTGCAATCTACGTACAGTGGCTGTTGTATTCTAGCATATATTTCTGTTCTGAACAACTCGGAACAAAAGCAAGTAAAAAGAAAAAATCCGACTTGGAATTGTCTTTGAGTTGCTTGTCAGGCTTAAAAAGAACAAGTACTCTGACAGGTAAACCTTTCTTACAGAGAGTAGCATCTCCGTGCTGAACAGCAATAGTTAAATGAAACACTTTGAAAAGCCTGTAGACTGCTCTTGGCAAGTAGTAGAAGTTTATATAAGAGTGTTTTAATAAAGCTAAGAGGAGACCCAACAACTATGTGTCTCTTGGCAAGCTTTGTTAAGTGTGACATGACACATGCGATGTAGGAGACAAAGACCTTGTATGCTGAGTTGTCTGAAGGGTCCAGTGCAGTTTAAGTTATGTGGTAACACAGCTGGGGGGGGGGAAGCACCTGCTTTGTGTCTGACTCGGTGGATACAAGGGATGCAGTGACTTAATGTTAGGGAGATTCTGTCAATATAAAAAAAGATTTTGAAAAAACTTATCTGCAGTGTTTGCTGAGTGCTGATTATGCTGTCCACGTAAGAGAGAGAAACTAGGCTAAGCTTTCACGGAGCGATGGTGCGAAGAAGCACGCAGACTGACGGCGGGATACCCGCGAGCCTCGTGGCTTCCCCTGGCTTCGTAGGCCGCGCTGGGCACCGGGCCTGGTGGTGCCCTGCCCGCCCCCGAGAAGAAGCTTTAGGCCTGGTAAGGGCCTGTTCTCCCGTGGTCTTACTTCTGTAAGGTAGGCTGAGTATTTTAAAAAAATGTTACTTGTAAAAGGGGATCCTAAATAATTAATATCTAATAACATATCTATTTTAAAACGCCATTACTATAGTTTTGTGTATATATATACATATATATGCGTATAACCCCCCCCACACACACACACCCCCGTTTCTGGTTTCATAAGGGCACTTCAATTAACGGCTCCCCGGCGTACCG